TCAGTCGCTGAACTTTCGATTTTTTGGTGACTTCGACAAATGGATCAACTTTCGACAATACGACAATTTTCACCCAACTTCGACAATTGGGTGAAGTTTCGACATTTTGGACAACATTTCGTATGTTTTGAAGAAAGGGCAGAATTTTCAAAAATCAGTCCCTGAAGTTTCGAAAATTTGGTGGTTCATACCCAAATTCGAAAATGGACTGCTTTTGCTGAGAATTTGAAGAGAATGTATTTCAGGCCCCTACAGTTTGTTCAAATTGATGCTTTATACCCAACTTTGAAAAAGGGGAAGAGTTGCATATTTGGCTGTTTTGGACGCACCGGGTCACTGCAGAATTTTGAAATTGACAATTTCTACTCATTTTTGAGAAATTTTGTCAAAGGCGATCCGTGAACGAAGCTAAAAATTGAATATTTTTTGGATTTTCTGGATTAAAGCACAAAATTTATGCTACATGTTAAGGGGGGAGTTTTGATACAAAAATTTTTGAATAGACCACGTTCTCTTTCTTTGAAGGTTTTATAATCAAATTTCGATTATAAAAAGTGGGAGAAATTTATATGGAAATTCGAACGTGAAATTTTCATATTACGCGGATTTGAAGACCGAAGTGACCTTGAATTTTTGAGGCTTACGAAATGATGCAATTGGAAGTTCGGAAGTGATTTATTTTCGAAATGGGTTTGGTTTTATTGAAGATTTTTGGGGTGTGTTTTTATGCTTAACTTTTGGGTGATCAATTTGGAGTTTGAGAAACTCGTGATCATTTGTTGATGCTTAGTTTGTATGGTCTCACATCCTAGAGAAATTCCTTTACCTAGGGGATCAAGTGGTAGTTGATCAATGAACTAATATCTTTTGGTATAGGGCGAAGGTAAGGGCTTGGGCATGGCACGAGGGTTGTTAAGCTCACATCCGTTGTAAGACTTTGTAAGAAATGATGGATTGTGCCCTCTGGTCCTTTCCTTTCCCAACTATAGTGGAACTTTCCCAAAGGAAATCTTTTATCTTCTTGCCGGGAAAGAGTTTGATTACTAAGTTCGATTACCATAAGTCGAAGTTCAAACATTATATCTCCGATATATAGGATATAATGTCAGAAAAAAATAAATTTTGGTAGATAGTGTGGCTTGACAATGTTGAGGTAAGACTATCGCGAAGTAAACATAAGGTAGAGGGAGTTTTTCTACTAAGAGTTTTGCACAAATTTCATTTCTTATCCCTTCTAGTTTAAGCCTTTCCTTCCTATGTAACCAAGTCCTCCTATGAACCTATCCCCGCCTAAAGGATAGGATAGGATAGATTACAACTATAAAGTAAAGGTTGTCTTCGAGCAAGCTCTTAGCTTTCATCGTGAGTGAGAGAGGAATTGAGGTTGATTCAACTCAAGCAGCTTGCACATGATTGTCTTGTGTAGTGTGTGATATCTTTCCTTTGTTAAGGTGTAAGTGTGTGTGTTATTTATGTAGATGTAGATCTATGTCCCTTTTTGTAACAGCATGCATATTCAATACATCTCTTGAACACCTAAATCACCATGTTCATTGTGCAATTTTTAATTCCACATGCCAAACCATGTTTAGGGATAGTTTGAGAGGTGATTATTGTGAATTGGGATGAAAATGGAGAGCCAAGTTCCCTTTTTATAGTGTTTATCCAGCCTTGCTAGTCTAGATGTGCATCATACTCTCATAAAAAGTCAAACACTCCAAGATCATCCATGCTTTGTAGTAGAATGAGAAGTACACTCAATCTAAGTAAGAGGAAGGTGTTTGGACATGGGGAGGAAGGAAGAGGCCAAATTTGGATGATTTTGATCATGTCATGCAAGGATGGTGGGCCATGGTGATGTCACACATAGCAAAAAGTCCCAAAAATCCTTCTACTTTTGCATGCAAAAATCCCGAAGTCTGATGTTTTTTTTCAAAAGTGACGAATGATAGAGTACAATTACAGTATTGTAAAAACTCAAACGGATTAATTTTTTGAGTTGTAGAACTCTGGGAATTCGCGTTTAAAGATTCGCATCTAATTAACCTAAAACGTCTGATTTTTCGACTTTTGCAAATAGTTTTACTAAAAATATTTTGAGTTTACAACTAAATATTAGACCATAGTTTGAGTCCAAAAGCGATCTCGAAATTCCATCTGAGGTATGCAAGTGCCTCAACGGATAGAAGCGGTTTTAGCAGTTTTGAGAAAATCAATATTATACTGGTTTTGTTTCTTATAACGGTCGTACATTTTGCAAATGAACTTCGTTTTGGTCGTTATTTATATTTTTGAAAATAGAGTGAATATGTACTAAAAGACTAGAGTGTTTTCTTTTCACATAAATGTTCAATATGAAATTTTAGTTTTTCAGACGTATTAACTAGGGTTGTAGTTTGAGTTGTTTGATTCATTTGAGATTTTCCACATTGGAAGTAAGATACTATCTGGTATCTTATAATAGTTGTAATGACACTATATATTTTTCAAAATATGTATTAAAGCTCAGTAAGTCAAGTTATAAAGAAGTTTGCATTAAACTGACTGTCTACAGTTTCATATCTAAACTCTGGGATGTCACATGAAGTGTAGTATTGGTTAAGTCTTGCACCATGCATGTAAGAATGTACCTTACTCTTCCATTTATTATGCTTAATCTGGTGCACATGAGGAGGTATAAATGGAGAGCTTTGCTACTAGTTTTTGGTTATTCTTTCCATCTTATTCTCTTCTTTTCTTGTTGTCAATAACCGAGGACAAGATGACCTCCCATCTCCTATTTTGTCTTGCAATTCGGTGTAAGAGTTAAGGGTTCATATGTTGTTTCTCTTTAAGTTTCATTTTGTATAAAATTTCAAAGTTTAAGAACAACATATATATAAGTGAAGACTAACATGTTTTGGTAGTTTACTCTTGATTGGTGGATACTTGTAAACAACTTCTTCTTTGGAGCTTTAGGCATCACTTCATTAACTTTCATCTCCCATGAGAATCAATAACTTAAAAGGTTGTAATATTTTGCTTTCTATGGTTGTTTGAATCTTTCTTAGCTTTTCAAAAGGATCCTTGGTGGGTAAAATGATTTTAAGTTTATTCAAATGTAAAATTACTCCGGTTGCTAAACTTGTAGTTTTTACTATTTGTGAATAAACCCCAACATCAACATGTTATCGTCTAGACTTGGTATATCTCAGCCGACAGTAGGCCAGGATAAGTGGTAATATGTCATTTTCAATAATGGAATATATCATGTCGATGTCCTTAGATCAAAACTTGATTATCTTCAATCGACGATTTATGAAGTTGTTATACCATGGATACACGAAGTTCCGATCAAATCACGACCTTTATTTGGAGAGCAAACTTGGGATGTATCCCCACAAATATCGCATTAATGAGAAGAGGGGTGCCAATTACATCCACAATATGTACCTATTGTTCACAGGTAGATGAATATGTTGGTCATATCTTAATTTGTTGCCCCTTTGTTATTACAGTTTGGGAATGGATCTTTAAATTGTGTGATATTCATACCCGACAATTTGCTACTATTGGAGAGTTGATCAAAATTGCAAGGAATTGGGGAAATTGCCCAAAACGGGGGAAGAACCTTATTAGCGTGTGCTATGGTGCTATACGGATGATCTGGAAGTCAATATGGGATTGGGTATTCAAAAACCCAACAAAGGTTGCGGATAACATCAAGTCTCTAGTGTATACATGGGTGAAGCATACAAGAACGAATTGTCATTATAAGTAGGTTGAGTGGTATGTTTTCCCACTAAGTTGTTTTTAAAGCTTTGTGTAATCTCGACTCACGTCTATCTCTTTTTTGCCTTCTCTAGTTACTTGTTGGTTAAACAAAAAAAAAAAAAAAAAAAAAAAAAAAAAAAAAAAAAAACATATATTCATTGGGGGGTGGGGGTGAGGAAGGGAGAGAGAGAGAGAGAAAGAGAGAGAGAGAGAGAGAGAGAGAGAGAGAGAGAGAGCAATGTTTTAAAAATCAGTTTTTTAGTTGAACCGGTATAGCGATCGGTTTCCTGTTCAACCGCTTCGACCGCCGAGTCAACCGGTTTCTATAATTTTCATTTTTGTACTTATTTTTCTGCACATGCATACATATATAAATAATAAATTTGACGTGTACAAGTTCAAACATTAAAAATACACATAAAAATAAGTTGTAGACCAATATAAATACATTAAAATAACAAATAACTATAAGTTTTTACATCAATTCACACACATCAAAAACAAAATAAAGTATTACACGAAAACAAAATATAGTTTCAAATGAATACAAGTGCATCAAAAAACATCATAATATATATCATATGTTTTTATTTAGAGAAATCTAAATAGATGTGAAAAAGTTTACCAAAGTTTATTATTGGAAATGGTTTTTTTCTATGTATTTTTATTTAATTTAACCGGTTCAACCGGTTTTTCTAAAAACCGGCCGGTTCAATCCGGTTCAGAAATTGATATAAAACCGGTAATAGTTGAACCGCTCTTTTCCCCGGTTCCCGGTCCAACCGGTTCGACCGGCCGGTGCAAACCGGTTTTTAAAACACTGAGAGAGAAAGAGAGCAAATTGGAGCATGTTGAAGCCCGATGCGGCGTATAGCATACCATTGTCACCGCACCCTCGATGTCGTTCCACTCCCTTTAGTTTTACTTGCTTGTATGAAATCGATGCCCATGATATACATTAAATAGGGTGAAGTGTCGGTGTGAACTTAATTTGCCTTATGATTTTTGGTTCCGATATCTAAGTAGCTACATTTATTGTAATATGCTTACCTACACACCACCCAAATATAGTCGGTCATTATAATTCAATGTGCACCCAACCCGTTTAATAACCATTTTTAAATAGCAAAATGATGTGGAAATATTATCACATTTTAGGGCTATATATAGCTCTACCACTAATTATAAGTTATGCTTAGAACAAAGGAAAAAAAGAAGATAAAAAAAAAAAAAAAGAAGCTCTTGATATGGAAGGAGAGGTCTACAATCTAATAGTAGATGGAAGTATTGTTTTGGCATCACTTTTCTATTGCTATGGCGTTGGCTTGTTTATTGGGCAAGGTACAACTAGATTCATGGTTCTATTTCCAGTCATATGTCTCTTCCTATGTCTTCCATTAAATCTCCACACCATGTTTTTATCTTCACTAACCTCTTTCTTTATATCCTTGCTTGGAACCTTCAAGCTCGTTCTATATGCCTTTGGCCGAGGTCCCTTGTCTTTGTATCCACCTCTCTCTTTATCTCACTTCATATTTACTACTTGCCTACCCATTAAAATCTTATCAAATCAAGAAAAATCGTTTCAAATGATCACCAAGAACAAGAAATCCCTCAAAGATTATGTTCCTCCGATTCTACTGTTTATCGTAATACTTATGGCACACAGTTACAAATATCGTCTTCACCCGTTACTTACCACATCTTTACATGCATACTATCTATTCGTTCTTCTCGAACTCTTTCTAGCCTTGACAACGTCTTTATCAGGATATATAGTTAGAGTTGAATTCGAGCCACTGTTTGATAACCCTCACCATGCTACATCGGTGCAAAACTTTTGGGGAAAAAGATGGAACATCTTGGTGTCTAACATACTACGTGCTACGATATACCATCCTTCACGTTCCATCTTTAGCTATGTGGTTCCTCAAAGATGGGTATCACTGCCTGCTGTTTTTGTGACATTTTTAGTGTCTGGAGTAATGCACGAATTGGTCTTTTACCATCTTGGGCGATTGACACCAACAGGAGAACTCACTTGCTTCTTTCTAATTCAAGGGGTTTGTGTTGGAATGGAGATTGTGATCAAGAAAACCATGGGTGTGCGATTTCAACCCCCGCCTATTGTGGCCCAGACATTAACTTTGTCATTTGTGATGCTTACTAGCTTTAGGCTGTTCTTCCCATCTTTCTTGCGTCTAGATCCGTATGGTAGAGTTTGTAGAGAGATTATGGCATTTCTAGGTTTCGTTAAGAGTGGTAAAGTACTTAGCCCCATTGAGTATGCATGCCCCTTCACGTGAAAAAGGTCCAAAATCTACTTAAATAACCTACTGATCAAGGGTCGGAGTTATTGTATGTTTCTTTGCTCTAGTGTCATAAATGTTATTTGGATTATGTTTAAACCTTAGGGATAAAAAACAATTAAATGTGTATATATATTTTGGCTTACCCCTTTTAAGTTAACTTTGCAAATTGAATTTATTCGAGCAATTGGCCTTTGATGCAAAGTTGATCTAAAAAGTGAAAAACGAACAAAACAATGGTAATTAGTATATGAAAAACATTAACTAATTAAACCAAAACAAAATATCGAAAAGTAGAATTTATAATTAATATATGAAAAACATTAACTTGTTCATAAAAAGAAATGTGGAGATCAAGAATTCAGAATTAATAAGGATATATATCTTAATTCCCCAAACATAACAAGACACGAATATTAAGATGTGGAAAAATATGATGTTTCTCAAAACAAAACAAGCAGGCCGGTCCAGACGATGGGCAACCCGGGCGACCGCCCAGGGCCCACGACTCCTGGGGCCCAAAATTTATGGGCTATATAGTGTATATATATATAAAACAATTATTGCCAAAATGATTTTTAGGGCCTAAAGTTGGTTTAAACTCAAACTAGCTTAAAAGATAAACAATTTGGCTTGCTTCTTATTGTTAATTGAATGTGTTTATAGTCAATAATAAATGATATTTTTTTAATCTTTATTATATTTTCCTTTAATGGGCCTTTATTTTTTCTTTTCGCCTCGGGCCACATATATATTTGGACCGGCCCTGAAAACAAGAATGAATCAAAATTCAAAATATTAAGCTAAAATTACAAAACAAGAGATTTAAACGATGCTATGTGGAAAATCAGAATTCAGAAAAATACAAAATCAATAAACTACTAAACAATGTTTAACCAACAATAGTTAGTAGATTCTTTCCCAAAAAAAAAAAAAAAAAAAAAAAAAAAAAAAAAGATAGTATAGACATAAGTCAGAATTTACTTCAATTCTCAAGAACAAAGTCAAGCAAGTTGCTCACAATTAAACTTGGGGTCACCATAGGTACAACTTCACTTGGTTCAGCAAAATCACTAAACATCAGTGTTAAAATACTAAAAGATGAAAACGCAAAAGTGAAATATATATTTGATGAGTTCACTTGTAACGTCCTAATCCTGCAGTTTGCAATACTGGTAATTTCGATAATAATTGATGAGGTGTTTTTATCAGGTATTTTTTTACGGAGTTAGTTATCGATTACTAAATTTACAGTACATGTCATACAATAATACCTATTATATATTCGATAATATTCCGTACTTAATATTGATTCGAAATTTGTTGACAGGTATTTCAGAAATTTGTTGACATATATTTCAAATGTTACCGACATTATGTTATATTTCATATATAAAAGTATTCATTTGCTAAGATATATCGTAAAGAAAAGGATATATAATAATATGAAGTACGTTTTCTTTATAACATAAAAGAGAAAGAAAATCGTATGTATGAAATGTTTTCATCAAACATACATCCATTACCATACATAAATAAATTAAATATATTTATTTATGTAGGATATACGAATACTTTGGATAGGCACTAAAAGTATATATGTAACCTTTATTTGGGATAAGAATGTTGAATGGATACGTGTTGATTTTAAAGCTACTTTCAAATATAGTATTACTATAAATAGAAGCATTCGTCGTTTTTTTCAATCATACAAATATATTACTATAAATAGATGTATTTCAAACAGAATACATATATGGCAAAATAAATATTTTAAATCTATAAACTTTTTGAAATGGTTTATGAAAATTAAAACATATTGTAAATGGTTTTTACTTAAATGTTTATAAAGTTACTATTGCTTATAATTGTGATAAATCTTAATTATCTTTTAGGTAAATGGCAGTAAAGTTACTGTGTTTTCATAAACTTCTCTTTTTAAAATACCTTTTTTAATTATAATTTAGTCGTTAAATTTTCTATTTTTTGCAATGTCAACCACTTAGTTGGTCAACTAGTAATTCTTTGTGTCATTTTTTTGGTGACGTAACATTAATCGTGACATGATAACGTATTGTCTTTTGGTTAAATTACATTTTGGACGTCAAATTTGAAGGAAAAAAAAAAAAACTAAAATATAGAAATTTTTATGATAATTATCCAAAATATAATGATTTTTTTTTTAACTAGTAGAACTTTGTTTATTTTTATAATGACTTTGTAAAAAAGTAGACCCTCATCTTTAGACTATATTAGAACCCACAATTGAACACTCAGACCATCCAAATGGAGGAGGAATGATAGATACACTCCCATAAGGTACTTCATACCTTGTACAAGCAGAAGACAAATATTGTTAGCAATTCGAACCTTATGAATACCATTCGCCATCGCCAACAAAATTATTAGTTATTCCATCCTTATAAATAGAGTAAATTACACGAATGGTCCCTATAGTTTAGGGTAACTCGGGCATTTGGTCTCTAACTTATTTTTTTGATTCGGAAGGTCCCTACTGTTTGTTTTTGTTATGCGTTTGGTCCCTATCTTACCTAAAAAGACTATTTTGCCCTTGATTTTTTTAATTTATTTAAATAAACACAACCCCAACCCTACTCATCACCTTACCTTACATACTCCATCATTTTTCCTTATTTAAATAATAGTATTTTTAGGTAAAATAGGGACCAAGTGCGTAACAAAAACAAACAGTATGGACCAAACGCGTAACAAAGACAAATAATAAGGACCTTCCGAGTTAAAAAAATAAATTAGGGACCAAACGTGCAAATTATCTCAAACCATAGGGACCATTCGTGTAATTTACTCTTATAAATATCATTCACCAAGAAAGTTTCGACCCTTCACTCTTACATTCTTCTCTCATGATCATACTTATACTAACTTGAGGGTTGTAGCATAATACCATCTCTCATCTTCGATTACAGATTTGGTTTTATAGTGATTCTTTATCACAACTAGCATTTTTGGCTAGGAAATTATGTCCTTATGTGAACATCAACAATTGTAAAGCTTGTGCTAAAACGTTAAGGTTTACATTGTGATTCCTAATAAGCCATGTATTGTTATAACGCAAAACATAAATCTCTCCCAAATCTCTCTATGTATCTCAAATCTCTCCAAGTATCTCAAATCTCCCCCAAATCTCTCCATGTATCTCAATTCTCTCCCAAATCTCTCTATGTATCTCAAATCTCCCCCAAATTCCCCATTGTAGTTTCCTTAGTTAAAACCAACTCAAAATGAAAGAAGAAAACTTTAAAGAGCAAGCCCAGATCAGAACCTCCTAACCGCACCGGACAGCTTCGCACTTCGGAACCTTCGGATTTGGCTCCAGGATCCCTTCACCTGGACAATCTCGCTCCGAACAACCTGCTGATCCGGAACTAATGACTTCGAAAAGTTTCTTACCACTCTGGAAGATCTCGCAGCTTCGGACTGAAAGCCTTCACAGCCTTAGAATCTCGCAGCATCGGAAGGAAAGGACTCTGGATTGGGGCTTACTTCGCAACCCTTGACTTCGGAAGCTACTGTGCGACTCCGGAACCTGAGAAGCAATTCGGAACTAGTGGTTTAACTCCGGAATTTGAGGCTTGGCTTCAGATGTCGTCATTTGACACTGGATTTCGGACCATTTCATCATTTTAATACATTTTGACGTCGAGAATCCCACCAAACTCATATTTTTCGTAACTTAGATCCCTTAAAACCCTATTTTATGCCAAATTTGATCATTTAAAATGATATTTAAGATTTAGGAAGGTATTATTCCAAATCATAAGATGTAAATAAGATAAGGATAAGAGTGTTGACTTTGTTGATTAGATATTGTTCCCCATTTCCCCAAGTATTTTAATATTCAACATGTATCCATGAAATTAACCAACGGATTCCCAAGTAAATATCACATCAAAATTTCCTACTCCTTATATTTGGACGACTTCCTTCCAAAAAGCTCCGCCATCTCTTGTCATTTTACCTCCTGCCTATTTCCATTTTCTCTCAAGAATAACTTCAAGCTTCACAAGGAGTTACAGTCTTCAAGCTTACTCTAATCTTTTGTGAGTATTTCGTAAATCTTTAGTAATTTAATACATTTCTATGTTCATGTCATCCTATTTACACACAATAAAATGTGTTGAACCCTTAGGATAAAATTACCTCCAAGGAAGTTCATCCTCTAATTCAAGAGTTCGGGTTGAGATCTTTACACCATCACTCCAACTCATCAACCAACTCAATGTGAGCTTCATACCCCACCTGTCACAAGTTTTCACTCTTTTAGGGGAGAATACAAGTCAAGGGTCTTGTGAAATCCTAGTATATTTGCTTGTTTATGCATGTACATGATTTATGTGCATAAAGTTATGAACTCCATATAATGATTCAAGAACTCGATATTTTTAGCAAGTCTCAAGGTTTTGAACTATATATCACAAAATATATGCTAGAAACAAAAACTAACATGTTTATGAAATATATAGTTCATGAATTGATATGTCTAGCACCATAACGAATTACTTCAAGAAAATGCTTAAACAAGATGCTTAATATAATATTTTGGAAGTGATTAAATTATGGAAGTAATGATAATTTGGGGACTATTTTCAGCCATATATATATATATATATATATATATATATATATATATATATATATATATATATATATATATATATATATATATATATACCAATTTGGAAAATGGGATGAAATTTAAGAATCATTGAACATCCCAATTTTTAATGGACGAAAAATGAATTTTTTGGATAAACAAGGGCTTTAGAACATTACTATGAATATATGTCTAAAACGAGCAAATCAAAAGAAATGAGCTATTTTCAACTATTCACTAAGTTTTGGGCCACTTATGACACCTTTTGACAAATATGGGTCTTGCTGATGCTTTATAAAAATATGGGCAATTTTTGCCAATATCGATAATATTTGATCATTTTTTTATCAATATGATTCAT